ACAGTGGGCCCTCGCAAGGGAGGATGATTAGGTCCAAGGGATCTGTCACCCAGAGAAATGTCATTAAACTCAGAGAAAAATCAAAAAAAATTAAGGGTCATTCCTCAAGGCATATCTTTATTCATTCAAAACTGGTTTTTTATGGAATTATGAACTGGATTCAAAACATTCAAAAATAAAGAAAAAAAGAATTTTTAAAGTGTTCTTTATCCTAAAAGGAAATTCTGCATTCTCACCCTATGTCCCGCAATAGCCCAATTTAAAAATACTGTTCTTGAGAACAAATATGCAACATACTAACTCAGCAACCCATCACAAGAAAACATAAAAATAATAATTGAATTCCTTAAAATTCCTTAAAACTATATAACATCATATAACACATAAATAACAAAAAAATTGTAAAATGTAAAATAACAATGTAAAAAATAATGTAAATGTAATTGTAATTGTAATTGTAAATTGTAAACCATTATATCACATAATATAAGTACAGACAGTCGATGGCCTCAGCAGCTAGTACTGCAACTTCCTTTAGTTAGTTTTAGTTTTATAAGCTATTCTAACTACAATATAAATAAATAAATAAAAAAATTCTGCACTCAAATCCAGTTTTAACAATATTCATATTCCTCAAATTGAACTCTAAACATATTATTCTTCGCAACTAGGCTTCTCCATTTTGGTGTCCACTGTCCCTTTTAGAATGCTAACGGGAATCAGCCATATGCGTTGTTGGTTAAATAAATAATACCTCCGGGGAATCATCATCAGCGGGGCACTTCCCACACCGCCCTGCGTTCTTTGCTCTTCGTCATTTCCGCTCCTTGCCCAATTTCGAGGCGCTTCCGTTTAATTACGAAATTCGCTTAGAATCGTAATAAATGTGGGAAGGGTCAGTGCCGTGGGCTATCGACCATTTTAGTTTCCCTTCCCGAGTTCGGCCAACACATTTCCATACGCACGTATTTGTCTAGTAAACCCTGTTTTCCTAGGAACGTTGCTGCTTTCCCCTGCCCTCCGACCCACTTGAATGGACTTCGTTTGCTCTTATCGATGTTTGTCTAGTTTATGTGCCGCTCTTCTGTTGTTTTTGGTCTTCTTCCCCGGCTTTGTTTGCCTGCAACACGTAGGGCCAAGAGAAGAAGAAGAGCGGCAGGAAAGGACGTCAAGCTGAGCTCGAAAAAACCAAATGCGACATGACCACGACTCAAATTTCCTCAGACAATCACCGTGGTGCAAGAGCCATGAGTCGAGCTTAAAAGGGAACTATCGAAGACGATATGGTAATGGTAATGGTAATAGTAATCCGAGCGAGGGATGATAAATGGCCTGGGTGTTTGATTGCAGCTCAGCCGAGGGCTAAAATAGAAAGTGAGTAGGTCGACGGGACAGCTGCGAGGGATAAGCAAAGCAGGTTGGGAAGTGCCCTACCCAAAACTGCAGAATTATCTGGCAGAGATAAGGAGACAAACACAAAACGAAATGCAATTAGTACCAGAATGTGTTAGCCTTGCAGTTATCACGAAAGTTTTAACAATATCGATTTCAACAATATCGATTTATATTCAAAAGAATTTAAGAATTTCTTGCGACATAACTTGTTAAAACCACAATACCCAAAATGTAGAAACTTCGAAAAACAACTTAGTCATCACAAAAGATGCAAGAAATTTGATAAGATTTTAGAATGTGTTAGTTAGAAAATATTTAGTACCCTTTAAGGCCTGCTGAGTGATGTTTAAATGGCATAGCAGAGCATTGCCAATATTTAAGATCAAAGGAATGCTGAGTGACCAAAAACATTCTTAAACACTTATTTAATGGTCACTAAACTAAGCCAAAGCTGTGCAGCCAACTAAATGTGGCAAGCACCATTACGGATCTTATCTGCAGGCCCTTAGCAAAAACATGAAACATTCCCGAGTGCTCTTATCGCGCTTCTTGGCTCCGCAACTTTGGCCATTCCACTGTGCAGCAAATGAAAAGTTTTTGGGGGCAGAAAGGGGCGGAAAACCCGGGGAAGGGGACGAAAAACTTCGAGCTAAGCAAATGCCTAATAGACATAGTCAAAAAAAAAAAAACCTGCTGAATGCGGCTGGACTGAATTTAGCAGTGATTCCATACTCTTCCTTGTCCTTCTGAAAGTATCATATGAATTTATTCTCTGTTCATTTAATTTCATTTATTATTTTGAAGGAGTTGGGTTTAAGTCTCCTGCTGCGCTAGGCATTATATTGAAATAGCTTAAAGTTGTTTTGTCTCAGTGGAACCCACCAGAATAATTACCCTGCTGGTTATTCACTTGCAACACGAAGGGTGTCTATGGTGTCGACTTAGAGAGAAACGCCTTTCTCCCCCGACGCAGCCACTGTGTTGCTAGTGTTGCATTACAAGTGCAAGTTTTCAGTTTTACAGCAATTTAGTTTAATTTCTTTTCGGCTGCCGCACGCCTCGAACATAACGAGCGCTGTTAATTGTGGCCATATACTCTGCTCGTACATAAGCCCGATGTCGCTGTCCTGGAAGAGGGAGACACGTAAGTGCAGCCCCCTGGGCGTGCGAGTCGCGACCTCCGTGCCTCTCCCCCTCCCCTCGGAGCCTCCCTCTGCCCTCACCCCTCCTCCCACCACCCATCCCACCAGCGGTTTGTTCCAGACTGTGGCAAATGTGTCATTAGGCATGTTTCATGACCCCTTGTCATGCACAAATAATTATAATTTAATACACTTGCTGGCAGGTTGTTGATCCGCGGGGAGCGCGGGGGTTGAGATTTTAAGATAGTACTCTTCCAGAATACTCCTGGTGGAAAAATTAAAGTTTGGGTAATGTAGTAGTAAAATAATTAGTGTTGCATATTGTACTAAGTCTTAAAATAGTTTAAATAGCTTAAATAGCAAGAAAAAGGCACAGCATGCTTTAACATTTTTTTTTAATAATTGTAAAAGGTAAACCATTTTGTAGCTAATAAATAAAACGCAAGAAATAAAACTAGATGCATTAACATATCTAGTAATATTACAGATTATCATATATTTTACAATCTTGCTGTTCTTAAACGGGATTCTCGAGAATAAACCTTGACATGATTAAGAAGCTTAAATATCTCATTTCTAATCAAAGCTGATGCGATAAATCACAGTCTAGTACTCCCGACGAGGACGACCAGATTCAGTGATAATCCCGCCATCAGGGCGTCGCCTTTTTGAATGCCTCCTTTTCCGCGGGGTTCCCCGTCGCATTCCGCGGCTGTCGGAGTGTGTTGTACCTTACTTTGTGCCACATAATTGCCAGCCATTTGCTGAAGTTGCCAGCCACGAGTGCTCCGCCTGGCAATTACGAAGGGCGCAGGATGTGCTTTACTGCCTTAGTGCTTTAGTGCCGCCCTGCCCCCTGAAATGCGAGGCACCCCATTTTGGCCCCAGCCAGCCGCCCATCTTGTCGCATCTAATTTGCACAGCTCGCGGCTAAATATGAAAAGTTTGTCTTGGCTAATTTGCTTTATGGCATTTTAATTGTATTTGCCCAGTCTGGGAAACTGCTGACTGCCGACTACTGATTGCCGAGCCGGTTGCTGAAAATTTAATGAGCTTATGAATTTCAAATGGATGTTTGCCCACTCAGTGCACCTGGGTGGAGCGGGGCCCCCAGTCGGTGGTGCTCCTTTGGAGATGGCCTTCCGAGCCTTGGCAGCTGATAAGCGTACTGTATTGGGCCGGCATCGATAATTCATGAAAGTAATTGGACGCCACATCGCATGTGTGCGGATGTCTGGCCCCCGCGAAGTTTGCGTCTTGTTGATTCGTGTGTGTTTGCCGGCTGAAAACACAAATGAGCACAGCAGGGCTCGCCGATGCAGATATAATTCTTATAAATAGACAACAACAGCGGCCCTTGTCGACAGTTGGCAATCATCATCATCGCCGACCAACTAAGCAAACACGGGAAAGCCAGCGAAAGGCCAAACCAGTTGTCGAAGCCCACAATACCCTGGGGTTTTCTCGGGAAAGCCTTGCCGGGATCTTAGCTCGAGTGACTCGAACGAGGAAACCCAAATTTACTATGCTTATAAAATCAAATAGACTTTTTTTAGGGGATATAAAATAAGTTTAGTTGGCATATAGGATTAATTTGAAACCATCAATCTAATATATATTCATTACCCTTTCTTACAACATTATTTGAAATATATTGTATTCATATTCAGCATTTATTTTATATTCCAGTTAAAGATGCTAGATTTATAGGAAACAACAATTCGCCAAACTACTATTTAAAATTAATCAAGTAAACTTAAATGAATAAATACGACGTAAATTAAATCTTTGAACAACATCTCTGCCGTTCTGATCCTCGTTAATTATAGAACCTGACGCCATTGACTTAGTTTTCCACATTCGACCCCGTCGGTCCCTCATTCGCTCCACCTGAGACAGAGGCAGACAGAGAACATGTCAATATTGGCAACAAAGCATTGTCATTAATGAAACCAAACAAAAACATTTAATGTTAGCTGGCATGGCAGAAAAGTACACACGGAATGTACAAAACTGAGTTCGGAATTTTGTGTGTTCGTAGACACACGCAGCCGTACTATTTATTGTGTGGGTCCTTATTTGCCTGGAAAAGTTGTTTCACAAATAAATAAGCGCTTCGAAATGGAAACATTCGCTCCATTGCCCATAAATATTTGTTACCGCTTATATTGATTCAAATGGTTCGGATTGCTGCCTGATAAATGGTTCAGTTGGGTGGGGGAGGTGGGTTGGGGTTCCTGAAGTTGAATTTCGATTTCATAGCAGCGTTCAGTAGACAGTCAATTTAAATAGTTGAATGCCAATCATAATACAAGAGAAATTATTGTAGGCGACTCTAGAAATCAGTTATAAATTTTTAGATCGGCACCAACAACCAAATCTATTTACTTATAGTCCTCGAACTCCTTACCTTCTTAAAGGTATAAATTTATAATTAATTTTTTGAAAATCAAATAATTGAAGTACAATAAAAACTCCTCTTCTTTATTAATAAAACATGATATAGACCTTGTGTTGATCTGCATTCTGTACAATACATTTAATATTATACTGTTTTTTGAATTACATTTATTTACTATATTCAACCACCAGCAACTGTTGACTTCATACAGGGAATGGAGCATTGCGTTCTCATTTGTACCGCTGGAACAATCGAGCCTTCATAAGGTGCGGGGGAATCTTGTTTAACTTCGTCCACAACCTGAAGAAATGGTTCACCGGTGGCGAATTCCAAAAAACAGAAACTTAGGACGAGAATCCCCTGGAAACTCTCATTTAATAACTGAAATATAAGTGATGCTTTCGAGACTCACTGCTATTGTTATTATTGAAGCCATGATGTTGTACTAACTGACTCTAGTTGCAACTACTTAAGATCGAATCTCGGTAAGGTGACTCGAATTGTTTAATGTAAATGCCATTGGAAATTACATAACTACAGTAAGCACCAGTATACTGAAATCCTATACTGTTTGCCGTGTTCACCGTACTCATTATTAATTATGACAGCTCACACATTGTACTTCAGACTTAAGTTAAATAATTTATTTTGTTTGCCATTTTCATTTTTTTTTAATAAGTGACATTATACTTACTATCAAAAGAGAGTGACCTGTAATAACATTGATATTTCATGGTTGGTAATTAATGACCTTTAAAAAATCATATTAACACCTGTTAAATTGAGGAGGCATTAATTTTCGAATGCTTAAAAATCTATTCATTAACCTTTTATAAAAAGGATTGAAGTACATTGTATTTATTTTCGGCACCTATTTTATTTTTTTTTTTTTTTAAAGATATTAAATTAAAAGGAAAAAACGATTCGTCAAACTAGTATTTTAAACAAATCGAGTAGACCTAAATGAATATATACGGCATAAACGAAATCTTTGAAAGAGGTCTCTGGCATTCTGATCCACATCAATTTTAGAATACTTAAAAATAAAATTCTCTTTTAAAATATGTAATTTGATCCAGTCTTTTTTATATATTATATATAAATTTGTGGGTGTTAGCGACCTTTCGAATTGAATATTGGTGTTTTGCCGGCTCAAGGTCTGGGTGATATTTAAAACACAATTTATGTTTTTTGACCAATATATTTCGGTTGCTCCTCGGCAACCGTCTTCAGGGCAATTTTTGACACGTCTGCGCCAAGTGACGTGGAGTTATCAACTGTTGATATTGACCGAAATATATTGATCAAAAAACATAAATTGTGTTTTAAATATCACCCAGACATTATATATAAATATAAATTATTATATATCTGCACCAATAACCCAATCCATTTACACATGTTCCTCAGCCAGGTCTACGTGGGCACTTCTTTGTTTCCTAGTTTTAGAAAAATAAACAAGAAAGGAAGCTAGCTTCGGCAAGCCGAAGCTTATATACCCTTGCAGATCTCAAATATGTCGAACAAAATGCATAAAGCCTAACAACATCGAAGCTATGCCGATTTTTCTATTCATTTTCCATATTTTTGACTATGGATCATATGGGAGCTATATGATAGGGGAGGGTGGTCCCATACCGACCCCCTAAAAGGCAAAAGCGATAAAGGTGAGAAAAATCAATTTTTCAGTTCGGTTCAAAAATTTACTATGTAGAGGGATCAGTTTACTATACATCTAAATGATTAGTAAGTGCGTAGGTGCTTTGAAGCGTTAGATATTCAGGCAAATATAAAACTCTACTTTTTGTTCGTACTCAAAAGTAGTGGTCCGAAACCGACCCCCTATTTCTTAACAGAAAAATTTAATAACATAAAATAGAATTTAATGATTTTGACGTTTATTAAGAAATATATTGAAGGTTCTTTCCAGAAAATAAAAATTAATGTATGAAATAAAGGGCACTGTAGTCAATTGATGAAGTCTGAGTTGTCCTCTTTCTCATAGTAAGTTTTCGAGTTGTTTTCGCGTTGTTTTTCGAAAGCCGCTCGTTGATGACTGTCTCTTCGCTTTCTTCTGATCTTTTTGCTGTTTCTGTTACTTTTCTTTACTGAATCTTGTTTACTTTTTCATATTTTCCCTCAAAAATACGCTATGACATATTAAGCTGCCAATAAATGGGGGTCGGTTTCGGACCATCACCTAGCGGTCGGTTTCGCACCACCACGACCTTTTCTGATTAACTGCTCGGCATTAACTAAAGACGCAAAGAGCGATGTAATTCTAATTATGTGAGTGAAAGCTAGGACTATCAACGATCAGAAAAATTTACTCTCTGATTTTTATGCGGAGAAAAAAAAATTTAAGCTCAAGTTCAGTAAAGCTCAAAAATAAATGTCACAGGCGTTGAAACAAAACAAACGGAAAAATTGCGGTGAAACAAAATAAGTCAAAGTGGCTATCTATCTCCAAAATGTCTGTGTTATAACAGCTTTTCACTGAAGTTACCGACAATTCGGCTAGCATCGCCATCTCTGAGAAACATGGGGGGGTCGGTATGGTACGACCGGTCGGTATGGGACCACCCTCCCCTATAGTTGTCCGATTTTGTTCAAATTTAATTCGTAATTTAAGAGTCGTAAGAAAACTCTATATTCCAAAAATCATACTTGTCTGATGAACAACAACGATGTTATAATTTTATTTCCATTATTTCTATATAGATTTTTCGATCTTTCCTATGGCAGCTATAAGATATAGTTGTCTGATTTTTATGAAATTTTTTTCTCAATATAAGAGTTGTTAAAAAACTTGATATTCAAAAAATCATGCTCGTGGGATAAAAAACAACGATGTTATCAATTTATTTCAATTAATCCTATATATATTTTTCGATCTCTCCTATGGCAGCTATATGATACAGTTATCCGATGTCGATCAAATTAATTCCGAAATTCAATAAAAGTTAGAAAACGCCATCTTGAAGAATTCAAGTCGATCTGATCAAAAACAACGGCGTGAGAATTTTTTATTTCATTCTTTCGTATGGGAGCTATCCGATATAGTTCCGACTTATATACTGCGTGCAATAACTACACACCTTTTGGTAAAGTTTCAGCAATATAGCTTTAAAACTGAGAGACTAGTTTACATAGAAACCGACAGGAGGACAGACAGACAGACAGACAGACAGACAGACGGACAGACGGACATACATATTTGGATTCTGATCGTGATGCTGAACAAGAATATATATACTTTATGGGGTCTGAGGTGTCTCCTTCACTGCGTTGCAAACTTCTGACTGAAATTATAATACCCTTATCCTCTGCAAGGGTATAAAAATACAAGTAGAATTGACACTTCCTCTTCTTTATTGATTAAACCGTATATACCGTTTAATGATTTAAATTATTTATTCCATTCAACCAACTAATGACTCCAAAAGTTCTCTTCTCTTATCGGTCTTTACAGTTCCGATCGCCGCTTTAGAAAGATCACTGCTGTGGGGTCCTCCAGCGGTGGCTAATTGCAAAAAACAAAAACACAGGAGAAGAATACCCTAGAAAATCTCATTTAATAACTAAAATATGGGTGATGCTTTTGGGACTCACGCTATTGTTATTTTTGAAGCCATGATGTTGCACTAACTGCCTCAAACTGCAACTGCACTACTGGTAGCAAACTAAAAAACCTATGCTGTTAACCGTGTTCATCGTACTCATTATTTATTATAATATTATATGATTAATTATATTGTTGAAAAATAGGTTTTTGTTGCGATTTTTTATGTTTTTATGTAAGTAACATCTTCAGGGGCTTACGGAGGGGGGTGTCCGGGGGGTCCGGCTCAGACTTTTTCAAATTCCCTTACAGCACACGGCCTTTTAACCATATAAACTAAAAAATTTTTTGATCGGTTGGTTTTTTTTTAAATATGGAAAAATGCGAGTTTCGTGATAAACATTACCTAGATTCTTCTCCAGGAAAATCAACCACCAAACATTGGTAAAATGAATTTAAACGTTGTCGTGTGGACACCGAAGACGCTGAACTCAGTGGTCGCCCTAAAACAGCAGTTACGCCAAAAACTGTTGTAAAAATCCGAAAAATGGTTTTGGCCGATCGCAAATTGAAATTAAAGGAGATTGATGATGCCTCTGAGAGCATTGTGTTTTCGATATTACATGAACATTTTGATTTGAGAAAGCTCTGCTCAAAGTGGGTGCCGCAACTGCCAACACCGGACCAAAAGCCACAACGCATCGATGCTTTTGCAACTACGTAACCGTGGATGAAACATGGATACACCATTATACTCCAGAATCCAGTCGTCAGTCTTCTGAGTGGGTGGTAGCCGGTAAAAGCTGCCCAAAGCGTTCCAAAACACAAATATCGACGGGTAGGGTTATGGCGTCCGTATTTTGGGATGCACTTGGAATTTTATTTATAGACTACCTGCAGAAAGGAAAATCAATCAACAGCGAATATTATGTAGGTATATAAAACTGATGGATTGACTGGAGCGCGCTATCAAAGATAAACCTCCACATCAGGATAATGCACTGGTGAAATTGAGTGAATTTGGGTTACTGCCGCACCCACCCAATTCTCCAGACGACCCCCAGTGACTATTGGATTTTTTTGAGATTCAAAAAACACCTCCAATTGCCGATACTGAGACCTGTTTTGAGGGTAAGAGTTCATCCTTTTTCATTTGGGGTCGGGAAGATGGGTGGGATTTCGGTTTACTGGGGTTAGATTCGATTTCATAAATATTTGAGTGCCCGTTCATAAAACAAAATGTATTATTTATAATTAATACAATTCATAATTACATCAACTCTTTTAATTTCTTATAGGTGACTCTAGGAATAAATTATATTCTTGTATATCTGCACCAATAACCCTAGGAACTTCTTTTTTCCTAGTTTTAGAAAAATAAAAAAACAAGTAGAATTGGCACTTCTTCTTCTTTATTAATAAAACAAGCATAAAATCTACATTGTGTAAAATATATATAATATTATACTGTTATTGTATTTAATTTATTTATTCCATTCAACCAACTGTTGACATCAAATCTTTTGCGGGGAGATTTGCCTCGCCCTTTTTGGTTGAAGTTTTACCTCAGTAGTTCCGATCACCCAATCACCCAATTTAGATGGAATTCTGAGCACGGGTCCTTCACCGGTGGCTAATTGCAAAAAACAAATACATAGGAGGAGAATCCCCTGGAATCTCTCGTTAAATAACTGAAATATGAGTGAGACTTTCGGGACTCACTGATATTGTTATTTTTGATGCCATGATGTGGTACTAACTCCCTCAAACTGCAACTACTCAGGATGGTTCGAAAATCTGGGTTGGGCCGTGTTCACCGTACTCATAATTTATTATGGGATCTTCTTCTTACTTACCATCTAAAAATAGTCTGTAGAGAGTATCCTGTAATAACTTTGAATTTCAGGGTTAAAATTAAATGACCTTTTAGAAATCATTTTAACACCTGATAAATGGAGGAGGCATTCATTTACGCCACCTTTTTTTTGGAACGGTGTTAAAATGTTAGAAATAAGAGACAAAAGAGTTAAAGTTGTGGTTCGATTTTAATGCATCGCCGTTAATGCATAGCGATAGCGAGCGAGCTCGTTACTGTTTTTAAATTACATTTATTTATTCCATTCAACCAGTTTCTGTCTTCAAACATTGAGCACTGAGTGCTGAAACAACCGAGCCTCCAATAGGTGTGGGGACAACTTGTCGGACTTCGCCCACGTCCTGAGGACACACTGAGGCACCGCTGGCGAATTCCAAAAAACAGAAACACAGGGCGAGAATCCCCTGTGAACTCTCATTTAATAACTCAAATATAAGTGATGATTTCGAGACTTACTGCTATTATTATTTTTAAAGCCATGATATTGTACTAACTGACTCTAGTTGCAACTACTTAAGATGTTTCGAAAATCTCGGTAAGGTGACTCGAATCGTTTAATGTAAACGCCATTGGAAATTACATAACTACAGTAAGCACCAGTATACTGAAATCCTATACTGTTTGCCGTGTTCACCGTACTCATTATTAATTATGACAGCTCACACATTGTACTTCAGACTCAAGTTAAATAATTGATTTTGTTTGCCATTTTCATTTTTTTTATGTAAGTGACATTATACTTACCTTCAAAAGACAGAGAGTGACCTGTTATAACATTGATATTTCATGGTTAATAATTAATGGCTCCTAAAAAATCATATTAACACCTGTTAAATTGAGGAAGCATTAATTATCGATTGCTTAACAATCTATTCGTTATCGTTTTATAAAATTGTTTAAAATATATTGAATTTGGGAATTATTATATTTTTTTAGTTAAAGATATTCAGTTAAAGGAAACAACAATTCGTCAAACTAATATTTTAAGCTAATCAAATATACGATATAAACGAATTCTTTGAAAGAGGTCTCTGGTTTTCTGATCCACATCAATTTTAGAATACTTAAAAATAAAATTCTCTTTTAAAATATGTAATTTGATCCGTCTATTTTATATATTATATACTAGCAAACCCCGGCAAACGTTGTTTTGCCACCAGATGACTTTATAATTTCTGTGCAAAATTTACTCAGTTCTAGACTTATGTAGAAAGCATGAATTGAATGTTCGAATTGACTTCAGGAACACGTTAGAATCTGGATCCGTGCCGATAAGTAAGCCGTTCAATGGTTCAGGTGGTGTTTTTTAGTTGCACTTTTCCTGACGCGCACCACATCCCAGCCAGCGGACATTCCTTGTCCATAGCACCAATTACCACTTTTGAGTGAGCATATTACTCAATATCGGGCTCATACTGGAATGCTAGACGCAGTAATGAATTATATATAAATGTTCGATGTACCGGTTGTCGTTGATGGTCATTTGTTCTGCCTCTATTGACTGTGACACGGCGTGGTTGTCGTTGTTTTAACCTTCTGACTTCATTGCGTTCAGCTCGTGTATCTTCTGGCTCTTCTTGATGCAATTGCGCTATTCTTTCGGATCTTCTATTTCGCATGTATCGAGATCTACTTGTATCACGGCTCAAAGTACCCGCTTTGCGTTTTCTTGGCATAGCTCACTGGACAAAACACTCATAAATAGAATTAATGATTTTACTTAATGATGAAGGATTTTTGCCCCAGTTTAAATTGATTTAAAATGCTATGGTAGCGTGTTTTTGTCAGTGTGATGAGGTAGAAACACACTTTATATGCGATTTTTGGTATGTCGAACACGATTTAAGAGGATGAAAAATAGACGTTGGGTAATTGTCAGACTTACTCTATACGCTCACAAAATTTCATGAGAATCGGAATAGACGTTTCGGAGGAATAAGGTCACAAAAACTGTGACACGAGAATTTTATATATTAGATAAATATAAATTATTATATATCTGCACCAAAAATCCAATACATTTACACATGTTTCTCAGTCAGTTCAACATAGGAACTCCTTTTTTCCTAGTTTTGAAAAATAAAAAATACAAGTAGGATTGACAGTTCCTCTTCTTTATTAATAAAACATGCATAAATTCTTCATTCAGTACAATATAACTGTTAGCATGTTTGATGATTTCATTTATTTATTCCATTCAACCAGCTCCTGACATCAAAACTTTATGGGAGAGTTCTCTCTTGTCGGTCTTAAGTCTTTCCCCAGTAGTTCCATCCGCCGCTTTGGAAAGATCACTGCTATGGGGTCCTCCAGCGAACGCTAATTGCAAAAAACAAATACATAGGAGGAGAATCCCCTGAGAACTCTCGTTAAATAACTGAAATATGATTGATGATTTCTAGACTTACTGCTATTGTTATTTTTGAAGCCATGATGTTGTACTAACTGACTCTAATTGCAACTACTTAAGATGTTTCGAAAATCTCGGTAAGGTGACTCGAATCGTTTAATGTAAATGCCATTGGAAATTACATAACTACAGTAAGCACCAGTATACTGAAATCCTATACTGTTTGCCGTGTTCACCGTACTCATTATTAATTATGACAGCTCACACATTGTACTTCAGACTTAAGTTAAATAATTTATTTTGTTTGCCATTTTCATTTTTTTTTAATAAGTGACATTATACTTACTATCAAAAGAGAGTGACCTGTAATAGCATTGATATTTCATGGTTGGTAATAAATGACCTTTAAAAAATCATATTAACACCTGTTAAATTGAGGAGGCATTAATTTTCGAATGGTTAACAATCTATTCATTATCCTTTTAATAAAAAGGATTGAAGTACATTGTATTTATTTTCGGCACTTATTTTATTTTTTTAGTTAAAGATATTAAATTAAAAGGAAAAAACTATTCGTCAATTTAGTATTTTAAACTAATCGAGTAGACCTAAATGAATACATACGGCATAAACGAAATCTTTGAACGAGGTCTCTGGCTTTCTGATTCACATCAATTATAGAATACTTAGAAAATAAAATTCTCTTTTAAAATATGTAATTTGATCCAGTCTATTAATTTATTGAAGATGCTTCTAGGAATAAATTATATATACTATATATATATATAAATTATTATATATCTGCTCCAAAAACCCAATGCATTTACACATGTTGCTCAGTCAGTTCAACATAGGAACTCCTTTTTTCCTAGTTTTAAAAAATAAAAAATACAAGTAGGATGGACACTTCCTCTTCTTTATTAATAAAACATGCATAAATTCTTCATTCAGTACAATATAACTGTTAGCATGTTAGCATGTTTGATGATTTCATTTATATATTCCATTTAACCAGCTCCTGACTTCAAAACTTGTTCGGAGAGGGCCTCTCTCTTGTCGGTCTGAAGTCTTTCCCCAGTTCCATTGGCCGCTTTGGAAAGATCAAATGAGAAAAGCGCGAAACGAATGCGCTTATTTTAGTTTATCTGCAAAAGTTTTTTTGTATACGAAAACAGATTCATGATTATGTTTTATGGTTTTATGTTTTTTCTATCAATGTTTTTTCTGAAAGTTTATTTGATTTGCTTTTTCTTTAATAAAAATCAGTTAAATTTTTGCGATATGAGCTGGCAAATGAATACATCCAAAATAAATTCTTATTCCAGTCGCTAACTTACATAAAAAAATTTGGTATTCTTGGCTTTGAAAGTGACATGTAGGGTATCTCATAAACCTAATTATTGTTAGTTATAGTACTTTATAAAATCGTATTGCTATTTTGATAGTCTGAAAGTGTTGAGAAGGCGAGCAGGCTTCTCTGTTTTTTGGAGACCGATCGGAGTGGGTTCTGTTAACGGCCTCTTTGAAGGGAGCTCCAACCCGTCGTCCCTTCTATCTTATCGAGGTCTGGCACTCAGAGTAACCTGTTCGCTGTCTGTTTGCCCCTTTTAGCGGCATGTGTCTGCCTATCACTTACCACCTCAATTTTTCCCAAAAACCAAATGCATCCAATAAATAGGCGCACAATTAACAAGTTCCTAGTGATTTATGCCGACGTCGCCGGTTCGCTTGGCTCGGTTATGGGTTGTTAGTTGGGCTGCGATTGGTTTGGTCATATTCGGTTTGGTTTGGTTTGGTTCGGGACAGGGACCGGGGCCGGGTTTTTATGGGCACCCCGACCGTGCCACGGAACAATGCAGGAGATAATTTTTTACGAGCCACTCGCTGGGCTGCTACACTATGTGTATTTTCGAACGCCATATGTTCGGGATGGGAACTCGACAGGGAAAGGGCAGGTAGTCGGCGGATAAATATGGCCCGAAGTCCGGGCCCCTTTCACGGACCGCGTGTGCAATTAAACGATTTCGGGAAGGGCGTTGGGCATGCGCTCAGCCTTGACAGGGAATCTCATTAAGGCAGAAAAGTCAATAGCGGAGATCTCCGATTTGAGGAGCCCGAAAGAAGGGTTGTCTTCGAGGAAATTCAATTTTAGCTCTGCAGTCACAAAGATGTGGCTTCGCACCAGAGAGCCCTAAAAATTATGTCATCTTAAGTTTGTGATAGCTTTATAAAACAATTCACTAAGAATTGTAAAATCATGATATATCCGTTTTTATGAAGAATGAGATTCAGCTTGAGTTAAGTCAATCCAAACCGTTAAAGTACACAACAAATTTTATGTTTTGGCATATAAAAAATTTGAATTCGAATTTTGTTGTCTTAGAGAACTTGTTTACCACTGATAGTTTAATATTCGAAGAGCAACACTGGAATACTATATATTTTTTGGAAAGAAAGCAATACTTTTTATTAGGGAACATCCCTGTTGAGAGCGTAGTGCTGAGAAGTTTTCTCGAGCCATCTGAGACAGTTGTCCAGGGAAAACTTTTCTAATTGCTCCGCCTGCAAGTTTTCCCTCATAATTTCCAAGCTGCGGCGGCGATTGAACAAAGCAATATTTGCCCAAGTAATTTTCGGTTCAAAAAACTTTTCACGTTCCTGCTCAAACGAACGGAACGCCGGGGCGTCGGGCTGAGATGGCAGAAAATGTTGCGGCAGAAAATGATTTCCCGGCCACGTACTCCGGCACGTTGCCAACTTTAATCTCTCGGGCTGATTCCGCTCGCTCGGCTCCGTCCGTCCGCCCGCCCCCACTAATTTTCGTTTAAAAGCGGAATTTATGTGAGCTCAGCAGTTTCGCTCCTAATACGAAATCAAATAGAACTTTCCTCGCAAAGGCTTGCCGGCTGAAATAAATGTACTTTTGCGCGGAGGAGCGCGGCGGTGGCGGAGGCAGGAAAATCGCTTTGTTTGCCGGGCTCATCTTGATTTATGGTCAGGGGAAGTTCGCACATTGGAGATGCCATTATTTTGCGTATTTATACAAATGCCTTTCGCTCACACATGCCCATACGTGCCTGGCCATAAATCAATAACTGAAATTTACACGCATATTTTGTGTTACGTGCTGGGTGGAAATTTATTAGATAAAGCTTTTCCTCGGGACGGGCGGAAACTTTCGGCCCGAGGAAACTTGAATCTGTCGAATCATCGGCGCAATTCATTTTTCTTCATTAGACGTAATCTGGGGTTTCGTCGGGTCATCTTTGGGGAGCACAAAAAGCCAGTTAATTGCTGGAAGCCTCCCCGCACTCCTCCCCTGACATTTGTTCAATCAAAATCATTTGATCATCGCAGGAACGGAATCCTTACAAGTCCCATATCAAAGCGGATAATTTATGCGGCTGCTTCTCGGAATGGATAAGATGGTCTGCGGATGCGATGACAGGCGAGGAAATCTAAAGGGTGGAGATGCCCACATGCCGACTGCATTCGGAGAAGCCGAGACAATTGCACTCGAGTGCAGCCCAGTCGAGAGGGAAATCCAGGAGCCAGATAAACCTCGTCTACACCACATTCGACACCCAACGAATTTTAATTAAGGCTGCACAATAAGGGGAGATCGCTTCAGAAAAAATCACAATATAAGATGCACAAGACAAGATGACAAAATCACATACGATATGTTGAGTTTCCTACTCTAAGTTATATTATTTTATTATTATTGGGGTTTCAAAGAACTTATGTACAAATATATACTTACTATATATATACAAGTTGGAAAGTGCTGACTGTTACACACTTCCCCGTATATTACACAGCTCTCCCCGTGACACTTTGCCGGGTGCAAGAGACTTGGCTATGACCAAAGATATATCAGATGGGTCGGCGAGAGCGGTAGATATATGGGCTGTGCTTGTAACACAGCCCAGAATGCCCATAAAAATTGTCCGCATTGTTGTTGCTACTGCAGTTGAGGGGAACACAGCAAGAACAACATCAGCAGCGAAAAAAGAAGCATATAAACAACAATGTCATCAACATAATTGTATGTCAAGTGAGCGGCGGCAAGAAAAACATTGAAAAGGAACAGAGGCGCACAAAGGGAAATTTCCAGAGGGGTCGTCAATGTGTTCAGAAGGGTTTCATTTTCTCGGAAAAGATATCACTTACTTGTAATTCTTAAAACTGTTCGCCTGAAAGCTTAAATCATTTTCTAAAGCCATCTTCGTTTATCCTTAAACAACTGTAGATGAAATTGTTGCATTATCCTTCAGGGTTTCCTCCCGGCTGATAAATCTATTTAGCTTCTGAAAACCAGCAACTTTCATAACTAATTACAAGCCTAAGTGTTTGCACCCCCAGGAATCACCTAAAAATCCGCCACTGAACCAAGGGCAGGGGCTTCAAGTGGGGAACTGAAGGGGCTCCTGCACAACGGAGTGAGTGAGAACTATAAAAAGAAGGGGCCTGACTGAAAGCGATGCAGGCAGGAACCACTCGAACCCGAGACCATGACGAGACAATGCAATCAAAGGAGCCCCCAGCAGTCGCTGGATTTGTCCGCCGATAGACAGTCGTTTGGGGCACCGAATGAATGACGAGTGGTGCACATATGCAATATTAACCCATCGCGAAACAATAGAGTTGGTTTGAAACAAAGGGTTTGCCCTTGCCAAAGAACACGCTCTTAACAAATTGGAGCGCGAAAAATCTTTTAGGCAGGCTTAACATGTTTTTGTTTTATTTTTTTTTTTATCCACATTCTCATACTTCTAAATTTAGAATACAATATGAACACTCGTTTACAAAGTAGTTATAAATCATACTTTAGAGAAAGAGGGTAGAAATTTTATTAAAATAACGAATAGTTCGGTTTTTCTTATAAGGTTTATCTTGTTCTTGGTTGGTACAACTTTTTGATTGTTTTGTATAGATAAATTTGAAATTTAAAAATATTCCTCAGACAGTTTCGCATTCATTTGACCCGTAGGACATTCAGACTTCGGTTTGCCATATTTTGCCACCCTCCGTTGGCGGCGTTATCTCCTCCGAATGCGGCTCATATCGGATCATATGTACAATGTGCGGCTTATGCGATGCGGGTCGTCCGACGACAAAAACACGGATTTAGCTGCTGCTGCACCTAGCATTTAGTATTTTACCATTCACGTCAGCGGCATCACCATCCACCCCCTTCCCCTCTCTTCCTCGACGACATCGTCATCGTCAGCAGCAGCCAACAGCCAGCAGTCGTTGTTGTTGGCTTGTGTGTCATTGAAATGAAACGCCGGGCGACGCCTCTTGAGCGGAATTA